TATCTTAAACCGAGCATTCATGTCAGTTATAATTTCATGTCCCCGATATACCCTGCCATTCAAAAACATTAACTCAGCCAGAAAACCACCCAACACCTTTTTGTTTGCCTGTCTATGGTGAGGAAAAACTTGGGTTCTTGAACATGTATGTTTATCAATAAAAGTCCTAACTTGAAACATTTCGCAATCTTTTATCCTCTTTGCAATCATATGCCACTTACAGTTTTTGTCAATCATACACTTTGTTTCGAAATGATCTTTGCTTGATTTGTTAACTTTTAGTTTATAGCCATCTTCCACACATTTCGTATACAAAGCTATCTTCAAGTCTTCATTTGTATCAAAACAATCATCTTTCTTGATACGAATAACTTTTATGTAACAATCAACTGCTATCTTTACCAACTCTTCTTCCGATATCTGAAGTAATTCTGGCATATTCCAGTTATACTCCCGTGGCATTTTCTTCTTTTTCTTTTCTCCGAAGACTTCTTCTTCTTTTTTTCTTCTTCAGTGTTATATGAATTACAGAATGGATGTTCAACATATTCATTCACAGTCATAACTTCCTCCTCATTATCATCAACAACATCTTCGGAGGCAGCGGCTGTATCATCAAAATTCGGGTATTGACCAATATCAAAATCATTACACGCATGGTATGTTTCTTCTTCTGAAACATCATCAAAATCCGAGTATTGACCAAGATCAAAGTCCGGGTATTGACCAAGATAAAATTTCGAATACTGACTAGTACTCACAATTTTTTATGTTGGCTCATCATCGTCTAACTGGTCAATACGAAAATCGGAATTTGGTGCTGAAAGTTGATTGGGATTTGGATTAGGGAAAGTTGTGGGTTTTGAGATTGTGTTTTATATTGTGTTTGGTATTGGAAATGTGGTGAAAAAAAAATTCTTGGTGATGAAATTGTGGTGGAACCATTAAATTTTGAGGTTGATAACAACGTTGTACATTGTGAGCACCATAAATTGGGGTTGAAGCACTTAGTTGATTACTACCCGCTAATGACCAACTTCACTACTTCTAGGTTCAACAACATACAATGTAACATCATCTTACGAAACACTAATGTAAGCAATGAATCGTTCAACATCTTCATTGTCGGTTAACAAATAAACTTTACCTTTTCTCTGATAAGATAACCTAAATCCACTTAGAGGCTCTAAATTCAATTTCTTTGCAACACATAACATTAGAGTTTCATAAGTTTACTGTTTTAATGATAGTTTTAGTTGAAGATTCATGGGTAAAGACATATATTGTAAAACACCATGAACATTCTCCCATGACCCTCCAAAACACAAATCTATCCAAACATGATCAACATTAGGTGATTTCATTCTACAAATTGTAAATTAATTTACTAAACAAACGACCTATAAACTAGATATCATCACTAACTTCGAGAAAAACATCCCTTTATTAATTTTATAGTTGATAATTTGGGAGAGAAATCATTGAAAAATTATATAGAAATAAAATTATGTAAAAAAAAATTAGAGATGGGGAAGGATGCGTTGGATATTGGAATGGATGTCGCCAGAGAGAGTGATAGATGGAGATGGAATGAGTTGCGATTTAGGGATTTAGGTTATGAGTTGCTGCTGCTGCATAGTTTATATACCCAAAACATTTGTGTTGTGAAAATAAAAGCTGTTGCGAAATTAAAATTCGTGTTGCGAATTCGAAAATCGAGTTGCGAAAACAAAATTCGTGTTGCGATTTAGAAAGTCTTGTTGCGAAAAGGAAACTTGTGTTATGAAAAATAAATTCGCGTTGCGAATTTGAAATTCCGTGTTGCGAATTGACTTCTGTGTTGCGAATTTGGAACCTGTGCTGCGAAATTGGAGATTCGCGTTGCGAATTTGTTGGTAATTTTCACAAATCCAAAAAAAGCTGGTTAAAATCGTATATTTAAGGCATTTTCGGTCACTGAAGTTATTTTCTCTTACATAAATTTGTTTATGTTAATTTTGGGTTTTAAGAAAAAAATGCAAGTAAGATTTGCTTAAAATATGGTGGATAATAGCATCAAGTCCACAAGACTAGTTAAGATATACCAAAGAATTAAAGTTGCATTCCTCGTTTAGTGCTTGGTTGGAGAGCACCGAATTTCACATGGATAGAATACATATAAGGTTGACGAGTAATTTTATGTTTAGAGGGACGAATTTTTAAAATTTTAAGAGGATGTGATCTTATAAAATTTTAAGAGACGGAAATAAATTATCAATAAAAATACAAAACATATAAATATATGATAATTTGAAATTTTAAGGGACCTGTCCCTAGCTGCCCCATGTATGTATATATGAAGAGGTGATAACTGTACTCACTTTGCTAATATTTTCTTCACCAAACTTAGCTTCAATAATTGAGAATAATTGGCTGAATTTTGTAGATTAGACTCGAAAACAGGATTGGCCAATTTGTAGAACGTGGTCACAGTCAGCTTGCCCCCTTTCACATCTCTTTCTAGAAATTAGATAAGCATTCGAAATATATTAATGAGATGATAGAATCATGGGATTTCTTTCATTTCTTTATTTACTGGAATCTATATATGGGGAAATGTAACTCAAACATCCTCCTAATTAATTTAATTCTCAATTATTAAGCTATTGAATCTACATTTCGTTCTCATTAATGATTGATGAAGCAATAATTGTTTTCCTTACACTTTGCAAGAACATTACTACTGCGGATCCAAGCAGATAATGAGATAAACAAGTTGCCACTAATTTTGTATGCAACAGCCAATATGAAATCTGCTTTACCATACTATACTAGCCATTGGTCTGACTCAGATATCCATCAAACCAGAAGGATAATGAAGAGTATGTTCGTTTTGTTATTTGAAACAAAATGTGACATTAAATTTAAATTTAAATAAATGAACTTGGGCGCCAGCAAAAGCACACTACTGGGTCCACTAGTGTGAGTTTAGACTTGTGTCTTACCGCCGACTTGACCATCTTGTTTGTGGGGATAACCACAAAGTTACCTTTTGCATGTGCAAGCTAGTAGTGGTTCCTACCGCTTTCAATGTAGCAGTAGCACACGCGTATTTCGCTTTTGGACTCCAAGCCAATCCCTATATATACCCACCTTCACTTGCACTTTAAACCAAGCTGATCTGAAACGTTCTAATGGCTATCAACAAGATATTTGGTGCATTTTTCTTTTTGTTGTTAGGTGTAGGCATTTGTTCTGCTACTAGAGCTCTCCTTACTCTTGATGAAGTAGCTCACCTCTCAGGTTTTGCTCATGGTGGTGGCACCCTTGGTGTTGGCTTCCATGGAGGAGGTGGGGTTGGTAGTAGCTATGCAAATGTAGGAGAATCTGGAGTTTCTGGATATGGAGGTGGCGGAGGAGGTGGAAATGGTGGTGGTGGAGCTAGTGCAGGTGGACCTTCTGGATATAGAAGTGGAGGTGGTGAAGGAGGAGGAGCTGGTGGAGGATATGGAGGAGCAAGTGGATATGGGGGTGGTGGCGGTAAAGGTGGTGGTGGAGGTGCTGCAGGTGGATATAGCGGAGGAGCTTCTGGATATGGTAGTGGAGGAGGTGAAGGAGGTGGAGCTGGTGGTGGGTATGGAGGAGCCGGTGGACATGGAGGTGGAGGTGGTGGTGGAGGAGCTAGTGCAAGTGGATTGGTGGTGGAGCTTCTGGATGTGAAAGTGGAGGTGGTGAAGGAGGTGGAGCTGGAGCCGGTGGATATGGAGAAGCTGGTGCTGGTGGAGGTGGTGGTGGAGGTAGTGTAGGTGGATATGGAGGTGGAGCTTCTGGATATGGGGGCGGAGGTGGTGAAGGAGCTGGTAGTGCAGGTGGGTATGGAGGAGCCGGTGGACATGGAGGTGGTGATGGAAACGGTGGTGGCGGAGCTAGTGAAGGTGGGGCTTCTGGATATGGGACCGGAGGTGGTGAAGGAGGTGGATCTGGAGCCGGTGGATATGGAGAAGCTGGTGTTGGTGGAGGTGGAGGTGGTGGTGGAGGTAGTGTAGGTGGATATGGAGGTGGAGCTTCTGGATATGGGGGCGGAGGTGGTGAAGGAGCTGGTAGTGCAGGTGGTTATGGAGGAGCCGGTGGACATGGAGGTGGTGGTGGCAGTGGTGGAGGAGGAGCAAGTGCAGGTGATATGGAGATGGAGCTTCTGGATACGGAAGTGGAGGCGGTACAGGTGGTGGATCTGGAGGTGCAGGTGGTTACGGAGGAGGTGGAAGTGGTGGTGGCAGTGGTGGAGGAGGAGCAAGCGCAGGTGGTTATGGAGGTGGAGCTTCTGGATACGGAAGTGGAGGCGGTGCAGGTGGTGGATCTGGAGGTGCAGGTGGTTACGGAGGAGGTGGAAGTGGTGGTGGGAGCGGAGGTGGGGGAGCATATGGTGTAGGTGGGGAACATGCAGGCGGATATGGAGGCGGAGAAGGAGCGGGAGGAGGTTATGGTGGAGGTGCAGGGAGCCATGTTGGTGGTGGAGGAGGAGGATCAGGTGGTGGAGGTGGTGGTGGTGGTGCATATGGTGCAAGAGGTGCACATGCTGGAGGATACGGAAGTGGTGGTGGAGTTGGGGGTGGTGAAGTGGGTGGCTATTATCCTTGAAAGTACCATCTCAGTATTAACAAAAATAAGTGTAATTTGGTACCCAAAACCAAAGTGCTAAAAATCCAAATGAATTGTGTTAAAAGTTGTATCAGTTGATTTTCAATTGCTACAACTGATTTAATGTTCAAATGCATATCACCAATCTATATTTATATTTTATTAACCTAATACAATTGGATGCATGAGGAATTATCATTACAAGCTGAAGTTATCTATATTGCTAATGGAACAGTGAGCTTTATTACTTGAAATTGCTGAAACACAAAAGAAAATAGTAATTAAGTAGACTAGTTTTGTGAGGGATACGTACAACTCTGATTGGTTAAAAGAAACAAAGCCAAGCCCATAGGCCATCCATATACATGTAGCTAACGAATGAGCTAATCATCATCGTATTTCTGCAGCTCTTGCTCCTCCAGGATTCGTTTCAATGGTTCAGAACATATAAGCAATGGAGTAGGCACCAAACAGGCCGGAGACTCGCACGGCGTGTTCTCTCCGTTATCGATCATTGGACGCCCTTTGATCATGTCCATGTCCCCTTCCTCACTCATCATCACCATGTTGCAGGGTATTTTCTTAGTAAAGTAGACCCTGTTTTTTCTCAAATATCGGTCACTGCATTTCACAAAATTGATATAATCAACATAACTAAAAAACAAACAAATCAAACATTATTTATGTTGTGTACTTAAAACTCACTTGTTGAAAACTACCCAAGTGGCTCGATGACTAATGATCCTTTCCACAACAAGCGATGGTAAAGGATAACCCATTACAATTTCCTTTTGTAGCATAACCTGTTGAATTGCAGTGATTACTGTAAACTGTAAAAACCAAAGCAAAAGGGTTGAGATGCAATTACCCCATGGTCTCTGCAAAGGTTAAGCACTGCTTGCAGCTTCAGATATTTGGCATCATTCTTCCACTCGTTTCTTTCTCTTAGTAAAGTTAAGTGCTCAAACTCCAGCATCCATACATCCTGCCAGGTCTTCGAAGACACTGCAACATTAACATCAACTTAGTACCCGAACCATAAAACTCGAATTCGATCGATCTCGAAAAGTGCTTACAGGGGATGTTCAACCACGGCATGAAACCCAAGAGGGTGACGATGTGACCGGAGGCACTGATGTTTTCAAGCACCCACTCGAGTAGCTGGGTGGTGAACTCCTTGAGGCCATCCATAACTATGACAACATGCTTAGGGACGTTTACAGAGCCTGGGGAACTAAGGTCGTTCCCCAGTTTTGATTCTTTCGCCTTTAGACGCCTGCTGAACCTGGACAGCGACGGACAGTACTTGCGTTGTCCTCTAAATCTGATAAAAAGACCCATACCGGAGGGAGAAAGGGATTCGTGGACATGCCCTTGTTGTCCATTTATACCCATTTTCCCATCATTTGTCTGCAAACCATTGACGGAACCCACGATAGTTGATAATAACTAGGGTTGGTTTTATAGAATTGGTCGTTTGAGTGGATTTAGAATACCACCAAGTGTCTCATTAGCCTTCTGAGGATTCAATGCTACTTTCCGATTCCAATCACTAACACCATGTTATTGCTGGTTTTATCCATTTCAATTTAAGTGGAGCGTCACGGTAAGTGAAAAAATGGTCCTTTTAAATGAAGACACAATAAGTCATTGTAAAAAAAAAAAATGCAACGATTAAATGTGACACAAATTTCAACATATTTACCATAGATGATAAGCAAAGTGATTTTATTGACAATGTTTTTATTAATTATTATATTTGATATATAGTTTATAAGTAATTTAATATAATTATTTAAATTAAATAGGAGAATGACTGTATTTTCAGTTTATTTATTCACAAGAGATATCTTTTGATGTCATTAAACCCTTAACCCTTAAACGTACTTAATTATGAGTTAAAGATGTTACATTAACTTTTAAACACTTACTAAACAAGATCATGTTAAAATTTGAACATTTTTTTTAAATTATTCATTTATTCCCCTTTTCATCAAACTGATTAATTGCGTAATATAAAATTTAATATTTTGACCTTAAAATCATATCCGGTTTTAGGCAATAATATGGCAGTTCGATCTTGAATATATTTAAAATGAAACTGCCTAAAAACTACCAATATAAAAATTCATTTCTATTGCGTTATAACTATAATTTCATAATTACTATTCATGCCAAATATTAGATATATCTAATAATATATATACTAATTAAACTAATTAAACTAATACAACCCGACTTATAAAACTAATCTATCATAGCAACAAAACATATATTTAATATACAGACCATCTAGCTAAGTCAAATAGCAATAAATATTGTATTGATACTGAAATAGGTGTGATCTGCAAAAAGTAATGTCTGCTATGCTCCCTACTCCATTGACTTGTCATTTTCTTTACCTACGGTGAAACATTCACACACTAAATAATAACTAAGTGAGATATTATTTAAAATAAATAAACATATCGACACAAAAGTGAATAATTAAACTTTCTACAGAAAATGTCATAACAATATAAGAACATATAACATAATGACGTAAAATCTTTTCTTTTATCAGAAACCTGAAAATGTCATTCAGAATATAAATTCATATTTTCACGTATGAATTTTTAAATAAAGGTTTACTTTCAATGAATTAATCAATCTTGCATATTTCTGGCCATTTAAGCAAATAGTCCAACGTACACAACTGAGAATGCAAGGTGCACTAGTCAAAACGAGTGTGTAAACAACATGCCGTCGTAACTGCCATAAACAGAACACACTTTTGGTGTCAGACATAAATATAGGTAATATAGAACACAACATCACTATATTGTAATCAGAAATCAGATAATGGCAACTCACAATGTCAACACATCATGAAGCCTAGAACACGCATATAGTGCCAGATACATGTACATAAATGTTCCAGATACATAATCACTCAACCTCATGGCATACTAATCATACCACTAACTCTCAATGCACATACAATGGACTTAATAGTCAAATCATATTCCAATTGCAATTCAACAAATAACAATAACATAAATCCATGCAATTGGGCAGTTCGTACCCGAAATCATTCTCAAATCATTTCAGAAAATATTATGAAAATAATTCATAATAAAATTCATATTCGTTTTATTTTAAAAACATTAAAGGTTGATTGTCTTCCTCGTATCATAATAACATAAATAAATAGGTAAGAATGCACTCACCTTATACCTCACTAACAAACCTTTACTTCGATATTCCTTACTCAGTTACTTTTTCCTTAGCCTTTGGTTCGCTTTGATCACACTTTTGTTGAGTATCTTGCAACAATGGAGTTCACACCACCCTAAGGAGAAGATGAACAAATTCTTGAATTTTCTACATTAAAATCTCATAACACTTCTCTTATAATCTAATTAAATGAATTTAAATTTATTTAAAGCTAATTTACCATTTTGTCATTGACGAAAATTGATAATTTCTAATATGCCATTGCCATGACTTTATCTTAAAATTCAAACATGAACCAAATATCTCATACTTTTCACTTTATCTTTTTAATTTTCAAAAATTACAATTTAATCACCAAAATTAAACAATATTGATTTAACATGGAAATTAATCTTAATTTCAATGAATCATGTTAAATTTCACCCTTATAAAATATGAAAATAATATTTCTAACATTTTTCCATCATCTTTCAGAATTTCTCAAAATTTTAATTTGGTCCGATTATCCGAATTTTTACCAGACTTTATTAATTTATAGATTTTTATACAAATTTTGAATCAAAATTCTGATTGCCATGAAAATATCAATTTTGGAGTAAACTATTCAATTATAGGAAAACTACATAACTTTCTAAAATTATATTTTAATCCCTAAAGTTTTCCAAAATTTATACTTCGATTACTAAATTTTTAAAATTTATATTTTAGTCACCAGCCAAAATTTGGAGTATTACATTAACTAAGTCAATATCTTATACAAATCTCGGTTGGAGAATTTAAGATAAATCCAACATTGATTCCGACATTTGTAGAGATGTGAAAACAGAGACGCACCTATTTCTTTTTCGTGTGGAGTACACAATTGATCTTGAAGATGATACAATATAGTTAAGTTTTTAAGTTGATTGTCATGTTCCGATCGCTATAAGTGTTAATAGATGACATGATATGTTCCAAAAATTTGTTTGAAAAGAACAATCATGGTTAATTCTATTTGATATGGTTTGAACTATAATTTGCTACACTAAAAGATGTTCATTTAGAAAAGGAGACGAAAACATTTGGTCGAACAGACATTTATAAGATGATCAAGTGGAAGAAGTTGACCAAATGAAGTTGTCCGCCTGGTTGTAGGAGTTAACCTACTTACCCGTCTAAAGCATGCATGGGAGGAGAGGTTGTCAACTCTTTTAAACAACTTTGATCGACGACTTGTATGATTAAAAAAGATATATACAAAGGATAAGTCACCGGGAAGACATAATGATTTTCTTTAAAACTAAAAAAATAAAATTGTCTATAGGATACAATAATTTTACTTGACTTACCTTATTAAAAAAATGACTCTGTAAAATACCGTAAAAATATCTCAAATTGCTAAATAATTTTGTTTGTATCCCAACTCTTTAATTTTCTTTTGAGTTAACTATACAAATGATCATTTATGTTTGTGTTTTGTCTACTTTTTGTCATTAATTTCAAAAAACATAAAATATGATCACTTTTATTTTTTATTTAATTAATATGTGGTCATCTCGAGTTAACTGTTGTTAACAGTAGTTAAATATTTTTGATATAATCACACATTTGGTCCTTATTATTTACATATTCTCTCAATTTAGTCCTACTTTTAATAAATTAAAATAAATTTAATCTCACATCGAATGATGCCATGTGTCACCATTAGTTACATAACTAACTAACTTTATTTTAATTTAATATATTTATTTTCGCCAATCAAAGAATGACATGTGTCACCCTCTGGTTGAAAGAGAATAAAGAAAAGCAAATTTGGGCAAAAAAATATTCAAACCTTGGCCACTTAGGAAACTAAACATGTATCCAACCATTAAGCCAAGATCATTGCTTGGTCTAAAGTAGACAACATGATGTATATATTTTGTATCTTAGTGTATAAAAACTTATATTCATAATATTTTATATATATTAACTTAAAAATATTTTTTATATTAACTTATTAAATATATTTTATTATTAACTTAATTTTAAATTTTCATTTAAAATATATATTTTATGTTAAAATTTATTTAAAAGTACAACTAAATTGAGAGAATATATAAATAACAGGGACCAAACGTTTGATTATACCAACTATCATGTCACATATTCTTTTAATTGTTAACAACAGTTAACCCGTGATGATCACATCTTAATTAAATAAAAACGAAAGTGACCATATCTTAATTAAATAAAAAAGAAAGTGGTCATATTTTATGGTTTTTGAAATCGGTGACCAAAGTGGATAAAATATAAACATAATTGATCATTCGTGTAATTAACCCTTTTCTTTTCTAGAGATAAAATCTTCTAATTTATCTAATATTTAACGACTCGTGATAAAAAAATATAAACTTAATCAGTTTAGTAATTATTCTTTTTTAGTTAAATGATAATAAAATTATAATTACCCTTCAAAAGGTTTTTTTTTGGCCCAGTAGGGTAAGGAGGGAAAATTGGGAAAATAGGGCAGGTAGAGGTTTATTTTGGGATCTACGACATTTGTTACAGTGCACATGGAATTCTTCACCTGACGAGCTCCTATAAAAACTATTTTTTATTTGAAGTGTAATATTTAATTATTTTTCACGGAACTCATCACCTCGAGTTCTATTAAAATAATGTTATTTTTTGCATGGTTGGGTTTTTTAAAATTATATTTAAAATGTGAACTTGTCATGCTGAGGTGAGAGTTCCAACGGTCATATTCAGTTGTATTATGTCCTTCATATAATGTATTAGTTTTTTTGTTTTTATCTTTTTAATGTGACGAGTTCCAACTATCATATTGATATATATCTGAAAAGTTAAGGAGATTGCAATAGATTTTGTTTAAAAGAACAACGAACCATAAACATTAAATTAAATCATTAAACATTACATTACGAGATAAAAACAATGAACCATGAACATTACATTAAGAAGATAATAACACGAACTTAATACATTACGTTAAGGACATAAATACAACTAACCTTACACACACCTTAAACAGTAAATAAAATCATAAACATAGTAGTATTTGTTATGATGTTTTCATCCTTATAATCAGTAGACTCGTCAGAAGTAATATCCAGTTCTTCAATTCTCCATGCTTTTTCTTGTTGTCGTTTATGTACAAATTGGAATCATGCTTTTGGGTCTCCATCATCTATATTTGT